TATATATATATATATATTAATGAATAAAAGTAATGAAGTGGTTGAAACAGTTAACATTAGCTAAGAGTTAATGGTTGAAATATCTAAATGTTACAGATAAATGGAGTTAACCAAAAGGTTACAGATTAATGTCTGAAACAGTCAAATAAAAGTTATGGATGAATGATTAAATTAGACAGGAAGAGTTTCTGATAACTGGTTGAAATAGTTACCTGAAATAAAGGATAAATGGTTGAATGCCACTAGTAGACCAAACTAATACTTGAATTGGTTTGTATGAAAACATATATTATCCACTTTTATATATTTAAGGTTAAATAATATCCAGTTTAAAATCAAATAAAAAGAACACATTTGTAAGAGACCTGTGAGTTTATGTGTAAAAAAACTGTATATGTGTTTGTGTGGGTATCATTTTCTTTAGGGACAATATACCTTCAAAGATTTCCTGGTATGTTGTTTTCTAGTGTTCGTAGCTGCCATATTCAGTATATATTCCACTGACACAGGCTAGAGGCTGTACAGGCTACGTGGCACAATCCAGGCACCAGGAATCTGCACCAAACAAACAGTGGCGTTGGCATGCTGGTCCTAATGCTTCTGCACTTCTACAGCAGCAGCTTCATTAGTGGGCCTGTGTATGAGGCCGACCTCCCCTAATGACTTCTGCCTCCTGCATGCTGTTGGGTACAAGCTTTTTTAGGAGTGAGCAAAAGAATGGTTGTTTTCTCACAGACATTTTAGAAAACATGAAACTATCTTTTTTATTATTAAGGTTTATCGGTTTGGTCATTAAGAATGAAAACAAAATCTCGAATCTGAGTAACCAAACAACAACACCTGTTGTGAATCATTTTCTTCGACTCCTAAAACAGGTGAGTAATCAAAGAAAAAATAAAACGGCTGCAGACTTCTGATGTTTAAAGGTTGAAACAAAGTTTGGAAACAATTTACAAAAAGGCTGGTGCAACTGCTGCTTGGATGTAATTGCACCACTGAAATGAAAAGAGTCACGTTCTTGTCATTCTGGACGATATTTGTCACACATTTATCAATACACTGATGCAACACAGTAGTTAGTTCAGAAATAGTTTTTATTCTTTTCAGTCAATTTCTGCAGAGAGACCGAAGCATTGGAATAAAAACAGAAGATTTATCTGACTGATTCCTTTAGTTTTCCTAGAGTTGATATGCTTGATATTTACCAATAGATTCTGTTTTATGTGACTTTTTTCTTTTGTGTCTCATCAGGAAAGCACCACAAACTCCATGACTGGCTCTTGCTGTACAGTTTCCACTTAAAGATTTATGAGCGCCACCTCTGTGATAGCCGCAGGCACTTCTTTATAAATCTGCTCTCCTGTAACCGAGGCCTCAAGCTGTGTGGATTTGACAGTTTACAGTTTCTAAGTTCACGCCCACGGAGTCGTTTAAATCTCAAATCTCAAAATCAGCTAGCGGCTTAGATACAATGTCACCTCGCATGTTGACCCCAAATTCCAAACCTGTGAGGAAAGAAACCCGACGTAAAGTGGCACCTTGTTAATGTTCCTCCACTCAGAGCGGTCGTGCTGCTCACCTCTCCTAATTACAGGACCCCTATTGGTTGGATGGATGGCGTTGCAGGAGCCAATCCTGGAGCTCCTACCAGCACGCCAGAGCGGCACGACATACCTTTTTGTTTTTAATGATCAAGTGGGCTCCTTAAAAATGTTTCCCTGCCTGTCCATCCCATACAGGGGAGCAGAGAGGTAGAGGACAGCTGGGACAACCACAGTGCAGCAAGCCCTCCCCCTCACTCAAGAAGTTCAATCCAGAGAGTGCTGCTCCTGATCACAGGAGGCCAGAACTTCAGCACCTTTGCAGGTAAGTCCTGATGTGAATGCTGCATGTGCTAAAGTTTTCCAGTTCAACTTCCTGCAGCTTCATTGTCTTTGGATGCAAAGTTTGAAAATCCTCAGATTTACTCATCTGTAATGAAACTGTAGAAGACAGTCTCTCTCGTTTTGAGCTGTAATTCTACATCCGTCCATGCTGTAACGGAGGAGAACATTTCAAGCTTTCGGCTGTTTGATTGTTCAGTTCAGTCGCTTTATTTGATATTCTGATATTCATAACAAAATCTTATTTTTCTCAGTAATCCCCGAAAAGCTCTATTACAGCATGTCCCCAATCCTCTCTATTGTCTTGGCATCAGCCAGTTAAATAGAAGCTCTGTCTTTGTTCCAGCATTGTCTTCTCATTTCCATATCTGACAGTTTGCTGAAAAACTCTCCACCACAAAACAAGACGCAGTCATCAATCCAAGTCTTGTTGCATTGTTATACAGTACAATGCCAGAAGTTCATACGGTGTTAACCATCCTCCAATACAGTTCTGTTACAACATTATCAGTGACTATTGTTTCTGTTGGTCCTCAGGAAGCAGATAAAACAGAAAATGGCACGTGTTGGACGACCATCGCTTTCCCTGATCCACACAGGATTCCTGTTAGCTATTGTTTTATTACCAGGTGAGGCTTGATTTACAACTCTCTCTTCAAACTCTCTCTCTCTTTTTCTGGTCTTTGTCACAACCAATTAGTTTGTATACATATGGAAAATGTAGTGTTAGCATTCAGGGATGTAGCCATACCACTGAAGATAATGAGATTTTATGGGGAATTTGGAGGATTTAACGACCTGAGGAGGAGTTCACATCCTACAATTACACACAAATTATACTTGGAGGGTTTTTGAATTCTGATATTTTACTATAAGTAAAATAAGTCTCTTTAAGATAAACTGTTCTCAGCTGAAAATAGAATAAAATAACAGGGATATATGTTGCATTTAGTGTTTCTCCACAATAATAATATGTGTGAAACACCATTTAGACCTGTGGCTCCCAACTTCTCTGACCTATGACGCCTTATGTGTGATGTTTCCTTCTTGTTTCATTTGAAGGATTTTCAGATGCTTGAGGAGATGAAGGTACCAAATATTTAACAAAAAACTGAAAAAAATGTAAAATGGAAGAAAACAAACTCATCATCAAACTCAATCTTTATTTTCTTTTTAATCCTGTTAATAGTAGAAGATGTTCTTCCAAACAGTTTTGTACTGTACTTCATTGGGAAAGTGTACTTTTTACTCCACAACATTTATCTTATATAGCTACTAGTTCTGCTGTGATACCTGTTGTACATTTGGTTGTTATGTGTTTTTACTTAAGTAGGATTTTGAATACAGGACTTGTATTTCTCATGTAGTATTTTTACACTACTGTACTGCTACTATAAGTAAAATATCTGAGTACTTTTTTCTTCCCTGTTTTTTGGTCGAAAATGTATTGGGAGAGTATTTCCTGGGGAATATGCACATTAATCTATGGTACAGAATTATAGAGGCACCATTACCCTTCTCTCTTTACCAGTAAAATATCACGACATGTTGATGTGCAAGGCAGCCTGTTAGTGAAATCTTTCCAGAGTCATAAAAAGACATCCATCCCCACTCCTCTGGGAGATTTTCCACATTAATAAATGAGAAGCACTGGAAGTTTCTGCCATAATCAGCTGACTTGGCTGTTTGCTCGTAGTCGTAAACTTCTGAAGAAAACCCCTGGTGGAGCAGAAGACAGTCCACGTGTGGAAACAGGGATGTACACAGACATGTCCCCTCCCTCCCACCTTCCACTTTTACAGTGTATTGGTAATTGGTTTATTCGAGGGCCCACTCTTTTGTAGTTTTACAGGTTAAAGAGGCCCCTAGTAGTTGCGCAAACTCCACGGGTCTGGTTCAAAGCCTAAATGAGCGTGCATGGGGCTGGGTGGGGGTCTTAAGGAGGAGGGAGGGGTGTTTAATCTGCAGGATGCTGCCTGTGCCGGGGCGCCAGAGCCCCAGCACCTGCCGTGTTTCACCCAGGGGCTTATTAGCAGGGGCAGCGTTTTCCCTAATGTTGAGGGAAAGCTCAACATCTGGTCCTCATCAGCTCATGTCCCCGCTGCTGCTAATGTGGCTGCTGCTTGTGTTTTATAGAGTTTCTGGGGGCCGTTCCAGTGGAGCAGCACAAGGAGGAGGAAGGTGAGGACCTGAGGACGTGGCATGTGTTGGTGTTTTTAGTCCCTGAGGTTAAAAATAAACTGAGGACATGGAGTTTAAAAACTTAAATTACAGACATTTGTGAGGGATCATTCAACTATTCTTCCTTTCTTCTATTCAGCCAGTAAGCACAACATACGTTTAATGCTTCATAATAGATTAATTATTTGTTTAAGTCATTATTAAGTATTTTTAGTGGGGCACTTATGCTGGGGGTGGCATGAATTATGTGTTTAGTTCAAAGACTGTTTAGTATCCCAGAGTGTAGAAATATTCAAATACACTAGGTAGAAATAACACATTTATACCACATGCAAGGAACTGCATGGTTTTGCCTAAAACTGTATGGGATTAGCCTAAAGTGGACACATCTGTAAAGCGGAGACTTGTGGGTAAATTTCATCCAGTTAGGAGCCAACGAACCTTTCTAATCACAAAACTAAACACAAACATTTGTCTTAAAGGAATAGTTTGCGTATTACGATACCACTCACCTGTCTGCAAGGTAAATATAAAGCTAGAGCCAGCAACCAGTTAGCTTAGCTTAGAATAAAGAGTGAAAACAGGTAAACAACTATAAGCGGTAACAGTTAAACCCCCCATCAAACAGTTCATTTACCTTTTTTATACTGTTATAAGTGTCATTTAGTGAGTTTTAGAGATGCTGGTAGGAAGATTTTGTTACTTTCAGACAGAACCAGGCTAGCTCTTTAACAGTCTTTATGCTAAGCTAAGATAACCAGCTGCTGGCTCCAGCTACATATTTAGCGTACAGACATGAGAGTGGTGTCAATCTTCTCATCTAACTCCTGGCAAGAAAGCAAATGCAGTGTACTTGTTAAAATGTTGAACTATTCCTTTAATAACCTCATAAATATTGACTAATTATAGGATGTTACAACTTATGTGTATATTATCAGTTGATTTCCACAGTTAGCTCGTTAGTTTATTGAGTAAGATATGACACAAATATATTAAATAACTTTACATGATTGAATAAAAACATTAGATCCAAACAACGTTATATCTAAAATACATACAATGCAATACATAAATAAAAGTCTGTCTGATCACATACAAATATACCTTCAAATGAAAACAAGTCTATTCAGCCTCACTACATCATTTAATTTAGTTCACTTTGTTCTTCCCCTCAGTGCCCGCAGTGTCTGATGATGTGAAAGCCGAGGCCATGGCGAGCCTGAGGAAGCTGGTTCGCAACAGAAGGAACGTCCCCGTCTTGGCGGTGCCCCAGTTTAAACGCCTGCCGGACTTCTGGGGATGGTACAAGTACTTCATGGACAGCCACAACCAGGAAGGAGTGAGTGGAGTTTGTTTTACATTCATTATTCAGTTTCTCCTTGTCAGGATTACGAAACAGAGCTTTTTTGAATTCAAATTTTTATGCCAAAAAAAGTTTGATTTAAACAGCTTTTTGATGTAGTTTGAAAAGATTCCTCATTTTTTTCCCCACAGCAATAAATTCTTTATTGCTCAGACCAAGATTATATAAATGTATTAATATTCTATTACTCTCTAAATATACTAAGTTACTCTTCAGTGCAAGTCATGTTCCAGTAAGAGCAACTGTGGTTTAAGAATCAGGCTGTATGGTTTGAGTAACAAGACAGTGAGCTGAGAAAGTACAAGCATTTCTCCTCAGAGGATTTGTGTGAAACTGTTCATCTATCACGTGCTTCGTTTAAGCTCTTGCAGTTTTATTCTTAGTTTCTCTTTGTAAATCATATGGATTCAGAGGAGGCTTATTCATTTTTGTCCCCTCTCCACCGTGTATTTCAGGTTGAGGATCTGGATCGTCTGTACATGGCCTACCTGCAGAACAAGCACAGGTCAGAGGAGGGCCCAACCTTCAACCACTACCTCAAGCACCTCAGTGAAATCTACAAGACTTGTGCCAATTCTGACGATCCAGAGTGCATCCACGAGTCCACCAGCAAGCCAAAAGCTGCACTGGTGATGCCAGAACCCATCAAGTCTGCTGCTGTCAGGATGTGCAACCCTTACCTCGACCCCTACTGTCTCTTCCCCCTCCTCCCCAAGGCTGCTGCCCCAGCACCAGCTCCAGCTCCAGTCAAGGTGCCATCCCCTATCCTCACCCCCTTCCTACCCATGCCCCTGAAGAGCCCCACTGGCTTCTACTACTACGCCCCCGTCCTGGAGCCCTTCCTGACTGCTGAGCAGAGGACTGAGCTGCTAAGGATCTGCAACTCTGAAGATGTAGACTGTCTGCAGTATCACCTGAGAGCAGCTTATGGCTACCGCCCAGCCCCTGGCCCAGCTCCATCCTATGCCGCCCTCAAATGTGACCCCAAGGACCCCTACTGCATGCCCCCACTGGTCCACAAAGCCCCCACTGGCTTCTACCACCTGCTCTACCCCAGCTGTGACCCAGCAGTCGATCCTCTGTGTGTCACCAACGTCGCTGCTCCTGCTCCCCTTGCTGGAGAGGAGGCCCCAAAAGAGCAACAATGCAACCCTCTCTTTGACGCCGGCTGCAACCCCCTGACTGCCACCAAGCTGTCTGGCCTCACCAAGCCCGTGCTGGAGTACGCACCCAAGGACGAGCCTGCACCTCCTGCTGCTCCTCTGGCCTGCGATCCTCACTATGACCCATACTGCATACTGGCAGCCGCTGCTGCCCTGCGCAAGCCTGCTCCGCAGATCCCCGAACACCAGGTCTGAATTTGAAGTCCTGCTACTAGGATATAATTCAGTTTTTTGACTAATCTCTTGTAATCTTGCTTGTTGATCTTCTATTCCTTTTCATTTGGTTTATTAAATGATGTAGTGAAATGAAATGGGTGTTTCATAATGCTTTCACTTGCTGTCTTCGATCTGCTTTGCATCTGTTTTGAACAAAAACACAAATCAATCAATCAACCAGGTCCGCTACAAGCTCGGTGTCCGCGGCAAGACCAAGGAGGGCTACGACTGCTATGTGCACTATGACAAAGACTGCACCCCGGTGAAGTCTGGCCCTGAGGCCAAGGCTGATATCAAGGCTCCAGCCAAGCCCGCCTGCCATCCATTCGACCCCAGCTGTGGCAAGTTTGCTTCACCCTCCAGCGTTGAGGCCCCGAAACCCGGCAAAGATGGCATAATCCTGCCCGACCCCGACTGCGACCCTGAGTTCGACTACAACTGCCGCCTGCGTCGCGCTGAGCCCGCCGCCGCTGCAGCTGATGAACCTGCCGCCGCCGCTGCTGAGGAGAAAGCTGCTGATGAGCCCGCCATGGAGGCTGCCCCCCCGCGCTTTGAAGACTTCCTCAGGGGCTTCATGGGCCAGTACAAGTAGATTTTAGAAACAACACCTGCTAGATAATCTACCTGGCAGGAATGGAGCTCACTCTGTAGTCCCTAATCGCTGTGGACTTCATGGACAACAAACTTCCACAGTGTCATCAAGAACATCATACAAAAACTTTAAAACCAAACAGAAAATATTGTAGCTTTTAAATAGTCCATCTGATTTTCCCAGATAATCTAAAGGTCTGTTTTTATATTCAACATAGAACAGTGAAACTTGTGGATTAAACACTTCATGTATGTATGTTTGTAGAAAAGCGTTGTATGTATAGATTTGTGATAGATTAGGGGTAGTTTGAATTTGTGTCAGCGGGCAAGAATCTCTCTCTGTTGTACATTCTCAGTTTCCATTTGAGTTACCCAAAATGTATTTAATGTTGTTTTTCACTTTTTTTCTGTAACTCTAAACCTCCTAACGCTTCACCTGTTTAGTTTTGATAAAGTTCTAAATAAAGAAGATTTAAAAAAAAAAATTTGAATTTTCTTTCTTGCGGTTAAATCTGCAAGTATAAAACCCCATAATGATAGTAGTTAGAGGAAGCTGGCTAAATGCACCTAGCCTTTTCAGCCCGTCAGTCCCCAGCTGTTGCAACTAACAATGTGCCAGCTGGCATGTTTTCAACAGTTTATGCTCTGTTGTTATGAAAATAGCTTATTGTTTCTACATCTGCACATTTTATAGCCACACATAATCAACAAAAATATGTGTTTTGCATGATAGTACATCACACTGCAATAATTAAGGTTTTTGAGGCAAAGAATTATAAGTTAATACTTTATTGTGAGTGTACACAAGGCGACTGAAATGTGTAATTACACATATAACACATACAGTCCCTCACATATATGTATTTCACCAGAGAAGTCAGATCCAAAAATGGGGAGCGTGGCTGAAGTTATGAATAACTTTGAGCTTTAATATAATTAAAACAGGTCAGATATATAAAATTCACCCCCTTCATACACTTTAGTTATAAAGACCACAAACGTTCTTTTGTTCCAAGCTGTAAACATGTTTATTTCTGCTGTTGATTTTAATATTGGGCCTTGTAGAGACTGACTCACTACTGTAGCCAGCCTCAAGAGGCCGTTCAAGGAACTGCAGTTTAAACCTATTTTTTCTTGAATCTCTCTTAACTGTAAAACAAATAAAATCTGTTGATCTGCCTCTTGTTGCATAGTTTTGGTTGTCTCTGAAACAACTAAAGTTCAGTCAGACAACTGACGTTTGAAATGTTTATTCCAGCAGTATACCATTTTGGAGTCTAGGCTCTGACTCACATGTATTCACAGAGAGACATTGTGGAGTGATGAGGATGTTTGGGTGGTGCTGCTGCGTACAGACCGACAGGCAGCAATACTGATGCAGAAGCAGCAGCACTGACAGAGCAGAGGGAGAGCTGGGACATTTCTGCAGCTTAAATAGGCCGCCAAATTGGACTGGTGTGCTTGGTTTGTGATGAGGTTTGTCATGTGTATAGCAGTACGGCTCAAGTTGACTGCCTAAACTAGCTCGCGGGCGTTGCTCCATTAGTTGGACAGATATTTGTGGATCTCATAATGAAATATTACATTGGTTTGTAGGGTTATTACCGTAACGATGTGAAGTTGAATTCAGTAACAAGAGCTCACTCGAGCTACTCGATGTCCTGAACTGTGCTGCCACCTCTGACCCTGACCTACGCCGTCGTACACATGCTCACAAAGACACTTGCTTTTGTTAGTTGTGAGGATATATTGATTCATATTGAATTCTGGAAAGCAAAGTGTTATCTGTAAAATAATCTGGTAATTCAAATTTTAATCCTTAGATGGGAGGGGAGTTCCTTCAGTGTGTCTGTGCAAACGGGTATATGTCCCCATTATACAGTCTCAAACACACTCATGCGCAAAATTAGAGAGGTTGATGTTTCGGAGGATTAATATTTGCCTGTCACACATCAGTATAACAACAGATATAAGTGCTATAATACGTTCCTGTAAGTACCGAATGTTAGTTTACCAGCTGATTACAACAAAAACGGAACCACAAATTCAGTCTTTGGCTGATGAATCTTCTTACAATGTGAACCACCTTAAGAAACACTGAATGGTGAACCGTGGAATTTTCTCTCCCAAAGCTGAAACATTATAGTTTAGAAATGAACTGCAGCCGTGGGCTACAAGGACTGCAGTCTGCTTTTCAATAACTAACCTTTCAGCAGCTCCAGCGCACAGCAGTCGCCTCAAGGAGACGAACAGTGCTGCTGCTGCTGACAGTTTTAAAAGCAGATAACACACAGCCGAGCTCAGTAATGACTACCTGAACACAACATGCACTCAAGAAAACCCCATGTAGGTATGTTCCTAATTGTAGCTGTTGTCCTGTAAAGTTTGGACTTGTGCTGAGTTCTCCTGTCATACTGGAGTAAAACTGTCAAAAGTCAAAAGTTTAATTCAAGTTCAGTCGGGATGAAAAATTGTTCTGGGCTTTTTACACTGACGATGATGTGCTGACATTTAGTGTCAGAATTGAGCACAAGAGGCTTTATTCATTTTGTTTTTGTGAGTCCTTCACTTAATAAAACATCAATATTATTCATATTAAGTCTTTTAACCCCATCAGTCCCAGCAGACCACCAGCAATCAAACTGTTTAAAGCAACATTATGCAAGAATTGGCCTTTTTATTTATCTATTTGGTGCTTCAGAGTTCAATTACATTAAACACTGCTGTTGTAAATACAGACTGTACACATGCATTTGTTATGATCACCGACATATAAAGATTGACGTTATGTCTCCTCTTCGTCCCACTGTACAGAAATTATGCACTGGTTAGTCTTTGGCTCAGCTGTCAATCATGATGTGAAACCCCCTTTTTATATCTTCAAATAACTAAACCAAGAAAACTGAACACTTAAACATACATAAGTGTTATAAAAACTACCTAAAATGACAGAAACCATCTTTGGGAAAAATTTATTTGACTTAGATTTTTTAGTTTGGTCCATCTGCTAACATGAGTCGGACACCAGGGGCGATCAAAATGTTTTGGCTTCACATTTGGGAAGCTGTCGAGCTCTTCCGCCATCTTTTATTTGTTGATGGTTATGATTATATTTGGTGGCGGAAATGCACCAAAAAGCTGGACAATGGAGAAGATGATTATATTTACAACCTTGCTAACGCAGCCAAAAATCAAGCAAGTGCAACAACACAAGACAAAGCAAGCCAGCTAATATATTCAGACTAGTCCAACAGCAAGAAGGCTCGGCGTCTGTCTGCAGCCTTTAATTTATTTATCTATTTATTTTTAATGACTAAAATCCAGTCTGAGATTTACTTGTGTCTCTTTTATTCTCTTCTTAGCTTCCTCAGTCAATATCCTCTTCGGTCCCTTTGCCATTATGTCCATAGAGGCTGCTGAGCCCGGTCACATCGCCCGCTCCGGTTCTCGCCATCGTATATATCTTGAATGCAACTTATCACATCAAATAGATCCTCATTGATCATGAAAAAGTGCAACAAATCATATTTGAAGCTGATAAGAAACTTGGAAAATAAACACACAGCTCTGGCTGTAGGACTGAAAGAGTCTTAAATCCTATTTATCCCGAAGCAAATAAAATAAAATCTTTAAAGGAAACTTTCCAATCAAGTCAAATGTTTTTTTTAATCTGCTTCTTTGCCTCGATCCAATAAATGTATTTCTTGAAAATGTCTTTAACCAAGTATAAAAATCCACTGGAAACAGGATAAAGTTCATCACAGCAGAGATGTTTCCACTTTACTTTACAATGTGATCTTTTATGTTTACAGACCAGGTTTCCACCAGGTGGCGCTGATCTCCCAGAGCTCCACATTGTAAGGCTTTAAGTGCTTCACTTATCTGTGTACCATACCTGCAGTCACACCTCTCTCCATCACAATCTGACTGTTATAGCAAGACAAAACATTTAAGCGTGTGAAACGCATCAAACATTCATTCATTAATGGTTTCAGTTGGATTTCCTGCTCTCTGATACAAGTATATACAAATATGTTTTTTGCAATCCAAACTATACAGAACAATTGATCACAGATGAAAGTTTGATATCTTTAGGTGAGATATGTAAAAGCTGCATAAAGTGTCGTTGTTCAAAATTGAATTTCATCAAAGGTCGTCTCGGGGGAGCAGAGATCAAACAGTGTGCGGAGGAGAAAGCGAAAATGTTTGGAATCAATTTCACGCCTCCGTGAAGAATAATTGCTGTGGATTTTAAACATTATGATATTGAGATAAGCGCCTTTTCAGCTTGTCACAGCGGAACGCTTTTAGTCTACTGGTTTATCACGCACGCCCGTTTTGTGTTAATTACTAAATAACTGATGAATTTATCTCCTGTGAAAAACCTTTTTCCTCCTGCTCCTGTCTGTTAATGTTCTACACAGACAGACTGGTAGATAGATAGATAGATAG